TCATAAAGAGCTCGGAGACGTCTCATTTTCTTCAGAAAAGATTGCTCTACACGAAAGACATATTCGTAAAGAATTTCTGAATTGAACTCGGACACTTCGATTTCTAAGATTTCATTGAATCAATCAATTCATTCAAATTTTTTTTTTCAGATTTGTTCCAGCTGTTATTGTCGATGAGAAAAATCAAAAATAAAGGTGGTAAACAATTTTGGATCCACTGCAGGCTTAAGCGGCGCAGTATTTAAAACCTCCAAATCGCTGTCAAGCTTGATTAAGTCTCCTATTAACACATATTGTAGAGCATTTTGGAGCGCATCGAATTATGTATGAATGAGTAGAAATCTTCTTTAGTTTGACAGAAAAAAGGTGAAACAAAAGTTCCCTTAGCATAACCACGACCTATGGAAAAAAGTCTAGTATTAAACTCATAAAACTTGGCGTCAGGCTTCGTTAAGGTTCCTATTAACTCATCTTATAGAGCTTTTCAAGACGCATCGAATGGTATATTACACTAGACTAAATACTGTATAGTTGCGGCCTATGTTTCAGCATTTGACTTCTGAAAAACCGTGAAAGAATGCATGTTTTTGGTCTCGGCTCTTTTTTGCAACAGAGTCGGGACTGAAGCACAGAGTATAACCCTTCGTTGTTAATTCTCCCTTCTGTTGAATAATCCTGAACATGGAAGATACGAAACTGTAATCGATAACTTCGATTTCATCCGTTTATAAGGCTATCAAATGAAATGATCCCGATTCTGGAAATCCAAGAAAATTCGATGTTATACTCGAACCGTTGAAAATCAAAGGCCTACTTCATTTTCATTTTCAAAAAGGACACTCTCAGCTATTAACCCATGGAGAAAACTCAGTACATCCCTATAGGAAATTTTTAAGACACAGCCAGATTTTCCAAAGAGGCTCTCGAAATTCACTTTGAAAAATCTCTGCTTATGAAAACATGTGCCCAGGTCGCTTCTTTTCAATTGCAAAAATCGGCGCTCTCTACCTGCTTTTTGTCAGAAGTTATTCGAGAGCTAGTAGAGAATGTTCAAACAATATACCAAAATCAAGAATAAATTGTGACATCATAAATTTAATTTATTAAAAAAAACTGTCTATTTTACGCTAGAATAGTTATTTATTATTTGCACTAATTACAGAAAACTTTTTTGTCTTTTTACAATTGAAAATAGATTATAAAATTGTATTGATCTACTTTTTTTTGATTCAATGATGTTTTTGAAAATGATTCAATGTTTTAGCATCAGATTCATCCAGTTCATAATTACTGTCAGGTAATTTTGTGCCAGCATTAAAATCTTTACTATTATCGGAACCACCAAAAATCTTTTTCCAAAATCCTCCTGTCCCATGATCACCTGTAACCTTAGCCATAATTGACTGAAATTTACTTTTTTTCTCCTGATCATTGCCCGACGACGTCTCACCTTTACATCCCAATATATCAAGTAATTGTTTCAGTTCTGGATTCGACGAGCTCGTCAACTAAAAATGACGACAAATTCGTTTAAATTTTAAGAAACAAGAGTTTTGTAAAAAAAAATAACAAGGTTGCGTAGTTGTTCAAGCCAAAGCCATTCTATTTTTCGTTGTGGAAAACAAATGAGTTTCCCCAATACATTTTTTTTAAATGTCGTCAGTCGATTTCAGATAACTTCATTTACACACAGTAAATCGTAGTAGGTTTTCAAATTTTTATCTAAGTTTCATTAATAAATTAAATAAGAAAAAATAAATTTCAGCTAGATTATGTGTGCATGTTTTCAAAGACATTTTTTATACAAATATGAAGTCTCAGATATGTGTCAGATGCATGTTCACAATTGGCCACAGTTTAATAAAAGTCATGTAAAACTATCTTTCGATGTTTCCTCCACGATTGCTTCGATGTATGTATTGCAAGGTACACCAGGCATGCACCGGAATCGGTATTCATATCGAAAAAAATTAATCAAATCCAATTGGAAAAGACTCTTGTGTGTTTCTTACGACTTATTAGTAAACGAAACAATTCAGCCGTTTTATCTTACTTGAACATGAGATTGGGGCCAGGGCAGCACTCTTACAGTCTTCAGTGTGTTTTAGACCAAATGCTTTTAAAAAAAACAGTTGGTCTAAAACAGAAAGAAGGTAGAAATATCTTTTCTCCTGATTTATTTACGTAAAAGTAAATAAACTATAGGTCGTCGAAGAGTGCGTATCTGTAGAAAGATGTGCTTGCGTATTCGGTTTCAAAATCTAGAAAATCGATGGATAATTCTCAGAATTTTGCATTTCTTGCCGATATATAAAGAACAATTTTTTTCTTGTCAGAACTGTTTATCTTATTAAAAAAACCTAAGAGTGTTTAGTAACGCCAAAACCGCATTGAAAAGCATAAAAAACGACGGCATATCCAAGCACATGTTCCTACACATGCTCACTGACCAATAACCTATAGTTTAGTTAAGGCGCGCATAATTCGAAGTTTTATTTTTGAATTTAACACATATTATGATAGAGGAATAAGACCAAAATCCGAATATCACATTTTATTTGCTTTATGACCTTTCATTCTCGATGAAAATCGCGAAATACGAAAAGGGTGCTCTAAACGGAAAAAACTCATCCTCTCAGAAAAAAGCTTCCAGCTTTCCTCCGTCTTATTTTGAACCCTTCAAACCTTTGAAGTTCAGCACATCTCCTGGTAGGATCCAAAAACGAGTCCCTTCACTCAGAAAAGCATCAAGTATTTTTCCTTAAGAGATAAACCCATAAATTTTATGCCATTCGAACCGCAGTGAAGCGGAGAACAAAATTACAGCTCCCGAGTTTTAACTTTTGCCTTTCCTGTAGCGAAATTACACTTTTTCTAAACCAGCGACAAAATCGAAATTATACCAGTAATTCTCAATCTTCTCCACCCGAACTCAACTTCTATACAATAAAAATATCACATTCGGAGTCAGCTCTCAAAACCGAGCCCAATGCTATATCTATTTATCCTATCCGACCACTTGTTTTTTTCCCGCTGAAAAATTACTTGGATTTTTGCCAAAAACTAAAAAAGCAACAAAAAGAAAACTAAACAAAAACCAGATGCCATTCCACTCGGTTTTGGAACCTCCTAGTATGATACTTTTATTAACTACAACCGATGTAATAGCCACTATGTCCAGGAATGATACTATGAAAGTTTTAATTCATTTTCCTTTTCCGATATATCTTGGTAATTTGGAAGCGTCGGATCAGCGTGAGTGAACATACAAAACAAGTATCTTTAATATCAGTAGATAGAAGCTGACCCATATTATTTAAAATGCTAAATTTTTATCGATACAACAACAGTCTAATTTTTTCTCTCTTTGACTTTAAAAGAAAAATGTTTTTTTCTTTATTCATCGAACATACAAAAATACATTGCTTCTGGTTATGTGCACTGGGTGAATAAGTGATTTTGAAACTGAAAGACAAGGTCACATAAAGTCAACTTCATTTCTGAAGTCATCAATCATATTTGTCTTTTAGTCTATCTTTTTTTTCTTCATTCTATTAGAATGAAAGAGACAATAATCATGAAATATACAGATGGAATATTGACCATACTCTTTTNTAAATTAACTACATACGATGTAACAGGCGCTATGTCTGATTATTGGCGGTATTCAATAACAACAAACAATGGTCTCGATCAAACAGTAATCATCATGCATCTTCCACCTCTCGAAAAGAGGTCATTTTCCCCTCATTTCAGTATTTTAAAATGTTCTCTGTAACTATGAAGTCGCTCTGGTTTATTAAAATCTTATCTGAAGAGTAATATCCACTGTTCAATATCATGCATTGTCTGCGAGAAAGAATTGGCCATCCAATCGAAAAATGATCAGAAGCAATAATCGTGCGCACAACACAAAATTAAAGCAAGGTTTTTTGCAATTTTCTAAACTTATCTGGT